AATCCCTGTCAGAAACAATAGACACAGGCACTCCATGCATGATATAACTTAAGGATATATATATATAGTAGATAGTAGAGGGTGTGTACTAGAATTTCCCTATTGTCCTCATTGTCCTTAATTCATTTATGTTTTTGTTCTTCATTCTCTGTTTTATTTTGATTTTTTTTCCTTGGAAAGGTCTTTTTTCAATTGGAAAAATTACAATTTAGTATAATTTTTTAAAAATAATTTCACATAAGTGGTAACTTTTATGAATATTAATAATTAAAATTATAAAAATTTTCATAAATCTTTAATTACTTTGTAAAAGAACCACTACTGGAATGTAATTTCTTATTTTTAATACCACTTACACATTTATTTATTAATTAAATAAATGGGAAGCAATCGCATTTGCTTTTTCATTTCTCAGGCATTCACATTTAATTTTTTAGGTTAGACTTCTCTCTAGTTTGTGATCAGATTAGAGCGTGTTGTTGGGTTTGTGAAAGGTCACCACGAGTTTCATTTTGATAATCTGAACTGTTTAATGTGTAGAACTCATCGAATATTTTATTCTAGTAAAAAATAATGTTGACCGGATATCGATAGCTAGTTGATCGGGTCATATTTCTATCAACGATAAATATAATTTTAAAAATAAATTGTTGATAAAACTCTGATCCGATCAAGTAGCTGTTGATATCCGATTACCTTGATCTTTTATAGGAATGAAGTACTCAACGAGCTCTACACATGGAACGGTTCAGATTATCAAAACGGGACCCGTGGTAGACCCCCACAGGCCCAACAATACGGTCCAGTCCGATCTCGAACTGGACCAAAGCCACTGCATATATATATATATATATATATATTTGGAGTGTATATTGAATGGTTAATAAAGTGAATGGTTAATAAAGTGAAATGTTAATAATAAAAAATAAATAAATAAATTTTTTTTAAAAAAAATAGATATATACAATCTGTCCCCACCCTAACGCATAGGGTGGTGAATATGCCTATTTAGATAAGTACCTGGATAAGTCATAATAGGGAAGAAGCAAGTGGCAAGTGATTTAAGTGACACGTGGTGGCAAATTTACCATGACTGTGCACATTTCCCTCTATAAATAGAGAGTCGCCGAGCTTCGGAAAGAAACAAGAAAGAAATATATAGGTTCAAAACAAGTACAGCATGCTAGTAAACAATAATAGAGAAGTAAAGGCTAAGGGTCGATAATAAGGTGAGGAATATTATACCTTGAGTCACCATAACATATTTTACGAATGTTTTGAGTTACCGTGAATTATTTTATACAATTTATGTTTTATGGTTATATTAATGTTTCAATTACGTGGATTATTTTCCGAACTCTATTTGCTTAAATTAAAACCCATGGATATGTTTGTTTAAATTTTAGAAAATATTTGACAATAATTTTATAAACATTTGTTTTGAATAAGTACCACTACGGAGGTCCCATGCCTTAAGGGACTTAAATAATTACTGGCCCTCTAAATTGTCACTTTAGTGACCCTCTGACAGTCCCATGCCTTGGGGGACTTAAATAACCTTTGGCCCTCTGATTAGTCACTTCGTGACCCTCTGTTTGTCATAGATCCATTGACCCTCTGTTCTGTTCTGTACCATAGTTATAATTATTTTTTTTATATGATTTTGTATTATGGGTCTGTTATTAAAAATAATTTATTCGAACCAAACTATTTATCATTTAGCCTAAATAATTATCCATGGTGATTTTATACCCTCATGCTGTTAGTATAATATTTCTCACTCTGTCATGTACTTATAGCTGTTAAAACCCCTTTCAATAGGAGAAATTTAAAGAAGGATGGTTTTACCCTGTGGATCAGAACCTCAAATTTGATATGGATATCATGTTTTTTTTTCTTGTAATCATTATCTGATTAATGTTACATCGTTACATAAATAATAATTTCTATGTACGCATTAGATATTTATCTACACCTTTTATTTTAGTACATAAAGAATAATAATTTCACGTACATATGAGAAATACATCAAGGGGAACTTTCTTGGCTTGGCTAGTAAATAATTGGGTGTAGGAAAGGAAGATAGAGAAAGGAGGATGGATTTCGGTATTGAGTCAAAGATGCAGAAAATGAGGATGGAGAAAGGAAGCTAATGCAAGTTTTTTCACGATTTTTGTCAATGATTTACTTAGATCTATGAACTCAAAGATGATGGGTGACATATTCAGGAAGTTTGGAGTGGTGAAGGATGTCTACATCCCTCTGAAGAGAAGGAAAGTGAGGAACACTAGATTTGCCTTTGTCCGTTATGACTGTGAAGTGGCAGCAGAAATAGCAGTGCAAAAAGCCAATGGGATATGGATGGAGGATAAGCAATTGGTAGTGAAGCATACAGACTATGGCAAAAAAGCTATGGAAGTCAAAACCCAATATCATCCTCAAACAAAAGGTTTTCCAAATGGTAGAAAGGATGAATGCAGTGTGTGGAAGCAAGCAGCAGGTGTTCGAACGTTTGCAGAGGTCATTAAGAACAATAATGGTATGGAAAGAGGAATCGTATCAGTCCAGGTAGAGGAAAAGCAATAAGCAGGTTGTCACGCATGGTGTTGTCAGTAGTTTGAGTGGCTCTAGTCTACTTAAACCGGGAGTCCATCTAAAGGTGGTGCTGGATCGGAGCAATGAGGTGGGCCTATGTAATGGGCTTGTGGATATGAGGGCAGGGGTGGAGATGCACACCCAGGGCCTCAAGGTTGGACTTCAATGTGGGCTTCAAGATGGGTAAGTCCATTAATGATATGTTCAGACCTATCACAAACATAGTGTAACGAATTAAGCTCAAGTAAAAAGCACCAGAAGAATAAAGGGAGGAAAAGAGTAGTTAGTAAATCTAGTGGGAAGAAGATCAAAGAGATGGAGCAGGGATATCTTCAGCTTCCAAAAAGATATAGTCACAAAGGCGCCTCCTCTAGTAAATTGGGTCCGAAAGGGGTTTTATGGAGAGCAGCAGCTGTGGTAGCATCTGGTTCAGAATCAACTACAAGTGGAATAGCTAGAAGCAGATCTCTGCTTAAAGAGGCTCAAGGAACTATTCAGATGGGAAAGTTGCTGGAAATAAATTACAAAGGCAAAGAAGAGGAAGTGTTGGCCAGAATTATGGACCTTGAGGCAAAGGATAGAGCAAGAAGGGGAGGGGTTTTAGTTCCTGCGGCTTAAAATAGCTTTTAGGGGTCGGAGTTCAGTGTAAATGGCAATGATGAAGCGTATCAGAGGTTTGGGAAGAAAGGAAAAAATGAGCAAAATAAGAGGATGTTGAAAGATAGAGGTATTGATATTGTTTTTTTTCAAGAGACAAAGAAGGCCTCTATGTCAAAAAATGAGATAAAAGAGATTTGGACTAGGGATAGAATGGGATTTATGACTGTGGATGCTAATGGCTTTGCTGGTGGCCTATTATGCATATAGGATCCAGGAGTTTTTCAAGTGTCAAGTTGCTGTTGTAATAGAAGGATCATCCTTCTCTCTGGGTCCTTATTCTTCTCTTTTGATTGTGTCTTGATCAATGTGTATGCACCAAACGAAGAAGGCCAAAGAGGTAAACTGTGGGAGTGCCTTCTGAAGTTAAGGGAGGAATATTCTAATCCCTGGTATATAGGGGGGATTTTAATGAAATTAGAAATATTGGAGAGAGGAAAGGCTGTTCTAGGAGGGATAAGGGGATGAAGGATTTGAATGACTTTATTGATAAAAGTGAGGTGAATGATTTGCCCTTATTAGGCAGAAGGTTCACATGGTGTAATGCCAGGGAATGAGAGAAATGGAGCAGAATCGACAGGGTCATGGTGGATCCAAAATGGGTGGAAACTTTTAATTTGAAGTTGTGGGGGCTTCCTAGATAAATGTCTGATCATAGTCCTTTACTGTTAATGGAAGATGAGAGAGATAGGGGCCCCAGACCCTTTAGGTATATAAATGCTTGGACTTTACATCCAAAATTCTTACCTTTTGTGGAAAAATGGTGGAGAGAGCATCAGGTGGAGGGATGGGCTGGGTTTAGGCTATTCCAGAAACTGAAAGAGTTGAAAATAACACTTAAACAGTGGAATAGTGAAGTTTTTGGCAATATAAATACTAAGTTGAAGAAGGTAGATGATGAGCTTCATATGTTTGACTTATTAGCAGAGGAAAGAGAGCTGGAAGAGGCAGAAAAACCAAGAAGAAGAGAGGCCAGAGTTGAAGCTTACAGTTTAACTAGAATGGTGGAATGGTTGTGGCTTCAAAAATCAAGGCTCAACTGGAATTTTAATGGTGATAAAAAAACACAAGATATTTTCATGTGTTAGTTAAGTGTAAGTAGGGGAGAAATGAAATAAATTCTATAACTGTTGGGGATGTGGTGTTTGATGATCCATATATAGTTAAGCAAGAGGTCCAAGCCCATTTTCAAAAACAGTTTTCTGAGGATTAGTAGCATAGGCCTATATTGGAAGGACCATTTAAATCAGTGAGGGAAAGTCCTTTTTTTGATCTGTTGGAAGCAGAGTTTTCTGAGGCAGAGGTCTGGGGAGCTGTTAAGGGCTGTGATGAGAATAGGGCTCCAGGCCCAGATGGGCTTAACTTGGCGTGCTTTCAGAAATTATGGAAGGTAATGAAGTCTGATGTGCTGAATTTTTTGTCTGAATTTCATAAGAACTGTAAGTTGGTTAAAGGAATTAACAGCTCTTTCATCACTTTGGTGCCTAAAAAGGAGAATCCAGTGGGGTTGGCTGACTATAGACCTATCAGTTTGATTAGGTCGTTGTATAAAATCCTGACTAAGGCTCTATCCTTAAGGTTGAAGGCAATGATTCCCTAGATTGTTAGTGAAAACTAATCAGCTTTTATTGGAGAAAGGAACATTCTGGATGGTGTTTTGGTGGCTAATGAGGTTGTTGATAGTTGGAAGAAGTCTAGAAAGAAAGGCTTGATCATTAAGTTAGATTTTGAGAAAGCTTATGACTCACTGAACTGGGAGTTCCTGCTCTCCATGATGGTTAATTTTGGGTTTGGAGGAAAATGGGTTGAGTGGATTGCGGTATGTGTTACCTCAGCTAAACTATCTGTGCTTGTTAATGGCTCTCCAACTAAGGAATTCAGTCCACAGAGAGGGCTAAGTCAAGGGGATTCCTTGTCCCCATTTCTGTTCATCATAGCTGCAAAGTGTTTCAGCATTTTGATGTCTAGAGCTTTGGATCTGGGGCTGATAAAGGGGGTGAAGATTGGCTCTAATGGGTTAGTTCTTACTTATCTTCAATTTGTAGATGATTCTCTGTTATTGTGTGAAGCTGATGCACTGGAGGTAAGAAATGTAAAGAAGATACTGAGGTGCTTTGAGATGATATCAGCTGAAGATAAACTACCATAAAAGTGTAGTTAGTGATGTGGGTATTCCGGATGAGGAAATGTTGGATTATGCATCAGTGTTGAACTGTGTAGTAAAATCTTTGCCATTTCAGTACCTTGGTTTACCGCTGGGAGCTAACCCAAGTAGGAAAGCAACTTGGAGACCTGTATTTGACAAATTTAGAAGTAAACTAGCTGGTTGGAAAAGGAAACTTTTGTCATTTGCTGGGAGACTCACTTTGATTAAATATGTCCTTTCCTCTCTGCCTCTTTATTACCTGTCAATGTTTAAGTTGCCTCAGGGGGTTACCAGAGATTTAGACAAGCTTCAAGCTTCGTTTCTCTGGAGTGAATCTGAATTGAAGAAGATGGTCCACTTAGTAAAATGGAAGGAAGTAGCTAAACCTGTTGACCAAGGGGGCATGGGGGTTAGGAGAGTTAAGGAGGTTAACAAATGCCTTATGTTGAAATGGTGGTGAAGGTTTGGTGTGGAAAATAAAGCTTTGCGGAGGAGAGTCTTAAGTATTAAATATAAGATTGAGGAGGGGAATTGGAGCCCTCAGGTAAGCTCTAATGTTAGGTGTTCTAAAATGTGGGAGGATATACTACTACAGCCTGAACATAGTAGCAGTCTGGTGGGTTTTTTCTGGACAATTGTAAGGTGAAAGTGGGTAATGGTCATAGAATTAAGTTTTGGATGGATAAGTGGTGTGAAAACTTGTGCCTCAAAGATGTATTTCCACTGTTGTACAGGGTGGTAGTTGATAAGAGAGTGACCTTATCTACTATGATGGTCAGGAAGAAGGAAGCTGGTGAGTGGGTATTTCAGTTTCGTAGGGCTTTGTATGACTGGGAAAGAGTGGAGGAAATCAGATTGGTAAGTCAGATTGAGGCAGGTCCTGCTATTAGGTTCTACTCTGAAGATTCACTTGTTTGGAAAGCTTCGAAATCTGTGAGGTATTTGGAAAGCTGCTGAAATACCCATTCACTTGATTGATGGTTTTAGTAGTTTCAGCCCAATAAGCAAAAGGATCTGGGTAAAACATGTTCCACCTAGAGTTCAATTTTTTGGATGGCTCGCATGGAGGGGAAAATTAAAAACTGCAGAGTTTCTTCACAGGATTGGTGTTTTGCCTTTTAGTGCATCTGTAGTTTGTTGCCTATGCAAATCTGGGGATGAGTCATTTATCCATGTGCTTTTATTATGCCCAGTGGCTTGGAGAGTGTGGTCTGAAATGGTTAAATGGTGGAAGGTTCAAGGTGCACTGCCAGCTTCAGTGGAGGCCATTCTTGACTGGTGGTCAGGGGTGGGTCTTAGCAAAAAGGAAAGGATGATGTGGAATGCCCTCCCTTTAGTTGTTATGTGGTCCATATGGAATCATCGCAATGAGTGCTTATTTCGGGATGTTGTCCCAAGTGTGAAAGGGGTAACGGATCTGATTAAGTTTAAAATGGCTATGTGGTTTAAGGAAGTATTTAAGGAACATATGTTTTCAGTGCATGACTTCATTTTTAATCTAGAGCGCATCTGATTCTGCTTAGGAGGTGGTAAGAGTGTGTGAAGTTATGTGGAGGCCTACCATTGTAGCATTCCTTCTGCTGATTAGTGGTCTGAGCAGTGGTTATGTGGCTAGGTATAGATGGTGTATAGTGATGGTGGAGCTGCTATACTTGGTTTGGCTCTCAACTTCTGATTATGCTGCTATTTCGAGTTTGTCTTTTGGTATTTTTGCCTTCTGCTGGCCGTGTATTGAGGTGGTATGCTGCTAGGCTCTGCAGTTTTGCTCTCAACTCTAGTGTTAGTTGGGTTGGGTTAGCTTGGGTGAAGCTTGGTTCCTTTGTGTTGAAGCTTGGCACCTTTTTGAGGTGGTTAGAGCTTAGTGCTATGAAGGCCTCAAATAAACAGCTGTTGCAATTTAGCTACATGTAATGTGTTGAATGGATGCTATGATGCTTGGGTACTGCTTGGGTGATGTTGTTGTGATGGAAGGGTGTGAATTGGTGCTTCATGTTCTAGGCCTCAAATAATTTGCTTCTTGTTAACTGTTGCTGCATGTTTTATTCTAGTTTGTGATGTTATTCAGACAGAGCATCTCTGCTTTTTGTAGTAGTGATAGAGGCACAGTTTGTAGGTCTGTAGGGTTGTTGTGATGTTGTCTTCAATACCTCATGAGGCTTTGTTGCATGTCTATTTTAGTAACTAGGAGGTTGGAGCATGTCTATCTGCTGCTGATTTTGGAAATTAATTACGTAGTGTGGAAAGTGATCTGCTGCTGCCTGTCTATCTGCTACTGCTGTTGTCAATTAGGTGTTGCTTATGCTTTGTTTTGTGTTGTTGGTTTCTCACCAACTAGGAGGTTAGAGCTTTTTCTAGCTCCAAGCTCCTCTTTATTGATGTTTTCCTATCATATGTAATTTATATGTGGTTCATCAATAAAGCTTTCTTTTGCCAATCAAAAAAAAAAAAACATAAAGAATAATTTCTATGTACGCTTTATATATTTATCTACATCTTTTATTTTAATACATAAAGATTAATTTCCATGTACGCTTTAGATATTTATCTATATCTTTTATTTTAATTCGCTGCATTATTCAATTACTTGGAATTAATCTAAGAAATTTTATAATTAGCTAGTTGCGAATCCAGCCCTGGTCACTGGGATGGGTCATGACAAAAGTGGTATCAGAGCAATGGTTAAAAAATAAAAATAAAAATAAATCTTACCTTCGTCCTTATGGTCTCACCTTAGCCCTTATAGTGATAAGTGTTTTTCTATAGCTAGGTTGGGCATCCTGTGGTGTAGGCAATGTTAGAACTTAACTTTAGCGACTCTTTTTGGTACAGGCCTGATCCCCCGGACGTTGAAGGAATTTTTTAAAATAACAATTACGTTCCAAACTTACCAGAGGAAATAGGTGATTCAGAAGCAATAGTTAGGCACGCAGACCCAACCCTCAACCGACTGATGGGCCGACCAGTATACTTAAGGGCCGTCTCCACAAAAGTAGACACACAGTGGTGGAGGGTTAACGCTATGAGTACCTTAGACAAGTTTTTAGGACCTACATGGGTAGTAGGCATGGCCCCGAGTCAGGGATATCCTCGTTGTTTAGTGGCACCTTTACCTTCAAAGTTTATAGCTCGACAAGGAAATGCCTTCTTAAGTGATCACATTCAAGTAAGAGTCCCTCCTCCTCAAAACCTAATTGATACTCAAACGATTGACTTTGGTGACATTACGACGCATGTGGAGGTACCTGTGTGTATCGCAGGATGATAGCTGTGGGGTTACGAGACAGGCATCCCCATATACCAAGTGGAGGTGGTATGGCGATGCTTTGGCATCGAGCAAAGTGGTTGGGAATTTGAGCATCACATGCAACTGCAGTATCCATGGCTATTTTCAACCTAAGATCTTGATAACAAAATCCTTCCTTTTGTTGTTTTTGTTTTTTCTTTTTCCTTGTGTTTGGTGTCCAAGTGAGCTGACCATGACCTAGTTCTAACCCGTTTTGTCATGGAGGGTTAGGCACTAAATTGACATAACTACAAGTGATGTACCAACACCATTATACATGAATAAAACCGGTGTTTTGTGAATAATGTATACATTGTCTATGTTTTGTAGATTATGTGAATATGTTTTGATTTAGGTAATTAATAGAAATCATGCAACACGTTTATTAAAATTGTTTAATAGCTATGGCTAACGGTGGAAATGGTACCGGGTCATCATCCAATGGAGCCGATCTAATGGAAAGGATTGTGGAAAGAGCTATTACCAGTTTATTGCAAGCCTTGCAGAACAATGGGTCACCAGAACATCGAGAAGGGACACCTACGATTAAACAGTTCCAAGACCTGAACCCTTCCATGTTCACAGGAGGTTCAACCCATTAATAGCTGAAGCTTGGGTTAAAGAAATGGAAAAGATTTTTCGTGCCCTACCCTGCACAGACGAACAAAAAGTATCCTTCGCCACTTTTATCCTCAAGGAAGATGAGCAGGAATAGTGGCTTCTCACCTTAGAAAAAGAGGAGATTGTGACTTGGGAGAGATTCCTAGAGGTGTTCTATGAAAAGTATTTTCCAGAATCACTACGGGAGCAGAAGGCATCCAAGTTCCTACATTTGAGGCAAGGAACAATGTCGATGGCGGAATACGAAAGTAAGTTCACGCGACTAGCTCGATTTGCACCGTATGTTATTCCGATAGAAGCCCAAAAAGCAAGGAAATTTGAACCAGGATTAGATGCAAAAATCAAAGATAGGCTTGAGGTTCTGAAACTACGAACCTATGCAGAGGTGGTGGATTGAGCATACATCACCAAAAAAGGAATTAAAACCGCACGTTAAAGTGGAATGGGTCAAAAGAAGCGATTTTGGAAACCAGTCGGAGGATCAAGGGCAACCTCACCAAAGAAAGTAAATCCCGGATCTACGAGCTCAACTGGTTCAGCCAACCAAAGTTTTACTATTCCCAAGGGTAGCACCATTCTGAATCGTCCGAGTTGTGGAAAAGCTCATAAGGGACAATGTTATTGGCAATAGGAGCATGTTATAGATGTGGCCAAGTTGGCCATGTGATGAAAGACTGCCCAAAATTCACCAACTTTGTGATGAGTACCTCTGAACTAGCTCAGAAACCAAAAACCGCCACAAGAGGAAAAAAGGAACAATGGCGCCAAGGGAGAGCTTTTACGTTAGTACCATGAAATTCTGTGACAACCCTCACCACTGTTTACTGATAATACTACTTATTACTGCTAAACTGTAACTGAACATGATTAAGTAACTGATTTGACTGACATTCTGAACTGATTGATTGAGTGTATTAGTTTAAACGCATTTCTATCTGTTTGACTGTTAATTGATCTGTTCATGTTTTAAGTGTCGAACTGTGAATTGAAGGCCTTATCGGCGGCCGAATCTGAAATTGATTAGTGTTTCATGATTATTAGAATTTATGTGATTTTATGGTATGTTTAATTGAAATTTGATTTGGTATGATTAAATTGGATTAAATAATGTTGAATTACACTAGTTATGTTTATTACTCTTTTGTCACTTAGTGGATTATTCTAGGACCATTTAGTTGACTCATATATGTTAGCCTTAGCACCTCTTCAGCCATTATTCAAGACCCAAAACCGAGAGAGAGAGAGAGTGTGTGTCTTGGGAGAGAATTGATTCATCTTGAAATCTTGGCTTGAAATTTAGGGAAATTGAAGGATAATAGCAAATTGAGCTTTCATTCTTGAAATTGAAGACCTAAGGTAGGAGAATCATCTCCTTGAACTTGTATTTAAGTTGTATCTTGTATGTTTCATGGAAGTTTGGTGATTAGAGTCTAGAATTGGTTCAAAATGTTGAATTGAAGCTAGCATTTTGAGGTTGTTTTCATGGATATCACTTCATGCATGTCCATATCTTGATTATAGTTCATGAATTCATCATGTTTTTGGAAGTATCGACT